TTATAATTTTAAACATATTTAAACACTTATTACTCACAATATGCTTCATTTAGTGTAGTGGGAGTTTGTTTGGTAATATTGGTACCAGCGCCTGTTGATGATCATGATTTAGTGATATTTACAAACTTCTATGTAATTAAAACAACAGACTGCGATCTAAACATATAGTCTATATAACAGATTGCAAAGACAGCTGTGCAAATGTAAAAGAACAAAACCTAGGCTGTTTGAAAGGCAATGACAGTGACAAAGAAAATCCTTCAGTCTGTTAAAATGACCAAGTCAAAACCATTACTATTAATAATACTAAAAAACGTTAGTGGCATGATGTGTTTTGACAAAGGTCTGAAGATTTTTTAATTGCAGGCCATATTGTCGTAAACTCTGTTTTTTTTTTAGACTTATGTAAAACTAGAAAGTTTCTAAAATTCATTCTTTATAATGCTTAAAGGTTTCCTGTTTGTTTGTCAAATTATGTGTTCTAGTTCCCATTTCCATGTTTTATGAAAATAAACATTATTTTCACATAGTATAAAATCTTTGTGGGATTTATTTATGAACAAATGAGACCAAATAGTATTGTTTGACAGTTTGACCAGATATTTTGTTGTTATTTAGAAAAAGTGCAAAACTCACAGATGACAGGGTGGACATATTTTGTGTTTTGTTCATACTCTGTAGGCTTCCAATTGATGTATAAAAAGAGCTGGAGCTTGACCACCATGCATTTCTAACAAACTAAGGTCTACTTAATAAAATGTATATAAAGTTAAATGGAAAATCTCAGCTTTGTCTTTTGGAATTATGAAGTCTCAAACCCCACACCCCATTTATCTTGGATTCCTTTGGAGCGTTGGTTGCGTGCATACTAAGACATTAACATAAATGCCTAGAAGAGCCAATTAAGCACAAAACAGTAGGGGGCAGATGTCATGATGAGGCAGAAAGTATTACAATGTGATGTCAGACCAGATCTGCTCCCTAGTAGCTTAACTTTTCATTTCTCAAGGTACACACAAAGTACGCAGGCAGCCGTGGATCTCTGCATGTCTGTGTAGTGTAAAAGACAGTATCATGGACCAAAATGACTTGCTCCACAATAGATGAATGTATGCATGAAAAATGATTTCACAACAGGCCCAGGTGACTGAAGTGTAACTCAAAGAGAGTTGGCTGTTTGAACATATAGCCAAAGTCTTCAAGTGACAAGGAGTAAGCGCCACAAACCCCCTTAAGACCTCTGGTGATACATCCTAATATATTCAGTGCCTTTGAATAATATAAGTGCTTATCAATAATTTTGCCATAAATTTGTTTGCAGTGTTCCTTTGTCATCTTAATGTAGTTTGAAAATGATAAAGCAGGTATATGTGACCTTGAATCACTTGTCTCAGATGATCTCTGTTCAACTTATTATGAATATTAATAACTGTTATTTACCCAGCAAGTCTTTCAAATTAAATGACAAAATATTTTGCTTGTCCGTGCCCTGTAGAATGACAAAATAAGTGTTTTAACATCTGACCCCCCAATCTGCAGGAAATCAGTCTCCTGTGGCTTCCAAAATGTTAAGCTGTAACATCTCTATGGTTAAAGTTTGTTTAGGTTCAGGCACAAAAACATTATAGTTAGGTTAAAGGAAACATTGTGATAGTGGTCACAGTAAAAACACATGGTTATGGTTGGAGACAAGTGCTTCCAGTTTTTTGCATTTTGGTTAAAATTCCTGGAACATTCTCAAATCTTCCCACACTATTCTAAAACTTAACACCTACAATAAAAACAATAACTTCTGGGTCCATTACAGTCACCCTACCCTGACCTACTGCCCTTTATGTACAGTCTATTATACAGTGTACACAAAGACCCCAAAACCAACCAGTACTCAACAATACTTGGCCCCAGTGTCAGCTAGTGTGGTGCAATTTTATTCAACACAACTTTATGTGCAGTAGGCAATAAGTAGATGATGTGATTTACCAAGCTTCAGGGTCAAGCATGTCATCCCAGAGACACGTTGTCCCTGAAGTCTGGATAGCACAGAGAACAGATGAGTCTTGTGTTTACACAGATTCAGCACGTCACACGAGTCTCCGTGAGTCCAGGGTTACATGCGATATGTTTGGAGGTGACGTCTATGGAATTCCCATTACATTTACTCCCTTTTAGCATTTTATGCTAACCAAACGCGTCCTGAAATGTGATATTTAGTAGATAATATATATATAACATAATGAAGTTACTCTAATGTGTTGCTAATATTGCTGAACCAACTGAGAACATGAAGTCTGCAGCTCTACACAGCTTTTCCTTCCCTGTGAAATTTAAATCTGTTTGGAGTTATTAGAGCACAACCTCCATCCAGTAATAATTTGACTGTGTCTGACTGTCAAGAAAGGTTTGTCCTAACTAGAATCAAACAGCAGGAGTAAAGATTTCATTCTGCATGAAGAGAGATTACCGAAACCCAGACTAACTGAATTCTTTGAGGGCCCGCAGTGCAGCCTTTATCCTCTTGAACCCTGATTTCCCCCTCATATTCAGTTGTGTATTTCTCAACGGTTCTTGTTCTCGTAAATGCTGAGCCTATTGAGCCCACGGAGGCCCTGACAAACATGCTCTCTGGTATGGGGTGGATTAAACAACAGTTAAGTGGGACACAGCAAGAAACCACACGTGGGCCATTACACAACCAGCTCCATCTGAGAGCCATGGTGCATGAAGTCATAGGAGTGCCATAAAAAAAAAGAATACATCTGTAAAACAATAAGAAAAATGTTAAAATAGAAGAGGAATAATTAAAAAATGAAAATATTAAGAGAATAATATATAAAAATAAAGATTTTTCCTTTATTTTACCTTTATTTGTTTATTCCTCTATATTTCCACTATTTTCTTATAGTCATGTTCTCCTTTGACTCCATAATGTCGACCTGCATGGCAGTGAATTTCTCTAGGAGAGCTAAGTTTCAATTAAATCAGTGTTCAGTGAGGTCTGGGGATTATCCACAGCAACCTGGACATTGTTTCTAGAAAGACAAGTTGCTTTTGAGCTTTTCAAGTAGAATCTTCCAAAGCTTTCAGCACGATTCACAGCCATTGTGCTGTGGTGGAAGGGGAAATGGATGGAAAGATACCACTAGAGGGAAGTGATAAAGTTTTTATTTTATTTAGAAGATTGTTTAAAAGGTAATTTGGCCATCCAAATAAAACAAATAATGATGAGAACGTATGTCTGCAAGCAGTTACTGAAACATTCCTTATGTATAGCAGAGATGATGAGCACATGAAGGCCGGGGGAGATGGCATGGACTGCGTGAGATCAGATATTACCAATGATTGGCCGTTTGATCCCCAGATCTTCTTGTCCAAAACTCCTTGAGCAAGACACTGAACTGCAAATTGCTCCTGATGGCTCGCTGCCATCGGAGTGGGGGTGTGTGTGAAAAACCTTTGGATAAAAGCGCTATATAAATGAAGCTCAGTGTAAGTTCAGGTCGAGCTCATCAGAAGTCCACTCATCATCACATTCAGATCTTCTGCATTCTCTTCACCCCATCATCACCACCTTATCACCACTTAATGGCTTCACTTCCCCCTTTAGTACCATGATTTCAGGGTTTATACAGTTTCTAAATTCATTGTCCACATGTCAGTAAATAAACGATGATGTTTCTCCAGGTTGAAATGCATTTAGATCATAGTTTTGGTTAAAATAATTCCTTTCTGTGACATAAGTAAAGTTCTCTAACTTTAAATACGTCAACTTTGACTTTTGGTTCAGTAGACTACGTCGCCTGAAGCTGAACGGTACCATGTGCGTCAGATGATGATGCTTTTTCAAGGGCCGTGAGATGAGAACGGGCTGAAAATATAGAAGCACACCCGCCTGGCGAAGAGGAAGATGGTGGAAACAGAGAGGGAAGTCAGATTCTGTATTTTTAAAATGGGATACTAGTGGGAGAACTAGTCAGCAGGTACAGGAGGATGCTTTTGTCAGCGTTTGTTTTCAGGCTGAGAGAAAACTCCCAGACACGTTATTCATTGTATCCAGGTTTATATTCAACCTGTTTGGTATTTCTAAAGATGGCCTCTGTTTAGCAGTAAGGCTATGGCTTGGTGGGATGACTGTGAATAATAGATAACATCTTGCAGTAGCAGGGTTAATCATCCTATCCTTTTCTGACAGCCGACCCGAGCTTTTCGTCTGTCATCCATTAGTTGCAAAGTAATGGCAGCTCCTGCTGCTGCTTATTGGGGTTTGGTTGCCAAGTTGGTTCGGCACTAATCCTAACACTCGTTTTAGATTAAAGAGATGTCTTTAAAGTGATCTCAAAAGGAAAACTGTAAATGCTATTATACAGACAAAATTAAATTACTAATTCATCATTTGATGCAGAATTCAGTTATTTATTTGCACATGCAATTACACTTATTTTATTATAATTTGACTTCAAGCTTTACCAAACGTTGTTTACATGCTTGCAGGTTCTGGTTTAGAAGAGTCTCCATAAGACAGTCCTATTAATTAAACATTAAGCTGTCTCACAATGTGAGCATGAAGTGAGAAGTGATGACTGAGACCTTCTTCCCACATCTAGTCTCAGTACATTTCCACTGCAATCCAAACTAGGATATTGTACCTGACATTTTAACACTTTTCATTTCAACAGCTGCGCATCGTTTCATTATTCAATAACCACCTCAAGAAGCTTTTTAACAGCGCTCTAAAGTCTAGGCTCATGGGAGGTGCAGTTATTTAACAACACTCCCCCTGAGAGTGACCACACCGCATTCCCACTGAGCTCAGAACCGGGTAGGACGCACCGTGGCACGCAGCCTCGCGCTGATCCACTCCGTTTTCTGGTTGCTCTTCTGACCCGCTGAGGTTCGGCTGCTGAGCACACACCTGGAGACGCTCACAGGACGCAGACATGAAGAAAGATGCGAGACCCAACTGGGACAACCCCACGCAGTTTGTGCTGGCGTGTGTGTCATACGCAGTCGGGCTGGGAAACGTGTGGCGGTTTCCGTACCTCTGTCAGATGCACGGTGGAGGTAATTATTATCATTATTAGAGACTCCGCTGGATCTGACTAACGAGCATTTTGCATTCACTTTATATAGGCTACTCCACGTTCAGCGTTATCTTATCATACAGTCCGTGCAAATTATTTACAGAAGTATCATTGTTTAAACTTCTCACACAAACTGAGCTTTCTGAGCTTTCAAGGCAAGTTCTACCTTTTACATGTTGCTTAAAAGTAGTCATTAAATAAATAAATCCAAGTTATTCTGATGCAGGGGAACATATTATCTACCTGTTAATTGACTTGTCGCCTGTAATCTGAGTCACGTGGCTGTTTCTGAGGGTACATTTCTAAACGACTGAATGTCTATCAGAATGAGTTACTGTTCATTCAAAGATTAAACTAGCAATAAAATAATTAAACTAGAGTAGAACCAGGAAATAAAACCGTTAATAAGTAAAGAATTATGCAGCTTAGGCTACACAGCCTTTCTAAAGACCACATAGGAGTGCAGATTAAAGTGTGAAGCCTACATACTGTGGATTCTGAATGGAGCAGGAGTAAAAACAAGGACTATTACACAAATGCATTATTCAGAGGTGGATGTTATGTAAGAATTTCCAAGTAAGAGAGTTTCTTACACCCCAAGGAGGGAAGATTTAATTTATTAAAATACACAAACTTATAATAAAATATTATATTTTGAGCAGTAAGGTGTACAACAGTCTGATTTCCTGTTGCTTGGCCAGCCTTCATTTCCTCCAGACCATCCAGCAAATCTCCTGCTCTGGCTTCCTTTTCCAATGACTCTTACGAATAATAGCCTGCCTGTTTCAGCAAAAACCACACATTAAAGTATAGAGCTGCAGCTGCACCATCTCCTAATTCAGTCAAGTTGAATAATTTTGACTTAAATCAAATCCAATAAGACACCATTCAATGACATTTCAGCAATAAAGCCAAAAAAAATCCACATTAAAATGAAAATGTCACGAAGCAGTCGCCATAGCAACTGTGATGTTATTGTCCCACTCTAAATCCAATGTTCCAAATCACACACATGAATAAATGAAAAGTACAAAAGGAGTAGGAGTAACGATTTACGAGTTCTGCTCAGTACACGTACAGCACAGTTTGACCAAGGAGGATAACACATGCAAAGGGGCCGATACAGGCCTACTCTACTCATTGGTAACAAACATTCTCATAATATGTATAAAGGTTTCTCTGTAAATGATTCCTTGTCTGTGGATCCATAATGATAAAACAGTAAAGCACAATAAACAGGGGCATTGCCAGATATTCTCCTGAAACAGGTCCAGAGTAACTCTGACTTGGTTAGATTGGAGAATTGTACGTCTTATTGGTCCTGTGCACAGGTCACTGAACAATGAGCACACGTCTACTGTAATTACTATCCTGAAATTCCAAGCAGGAACACAGTGGAAACATGTGGCAGCCTGCAATCAAAGTTGGACGGGGACAACTAAATGAACATTATTGGTTCACAAACTCAAATAGCTTTGATAGTGTGCAATTGGTTTGGATTTATGGAGATACTGTTTAATGCCAACAAAATGGCAAACATTTCTAAATGCCGAGGTTTTTAAATTTAACAAAGAAATGATCAAATGTATCTGCAATAGTAAATAATAGTGAAATTAAAAGTGTTTAATTATAAAACACAAATAAACAACATTCGCTTCTGAAAGTTGAGGGGGTCGATGTCCAAATAGAGTCAACCCTCAACAGTAGCCTAATGCTATTTTATTTCCAATGAAGGTAAAGAAATATGTAATTTGACACTAAAGAGAAAATATATATTTAAACCAAAGCAAATATTCAACCACGATTAATTTATTATTGGACATTTAATTCTCCATTTACTGCATTGCATCCTGTCTGCAGACCTGGACTCCTTGGATTTGTTTTTTAAAATGCAGACCCTTATAAATAAAGTATTTATAACTTGGCAAACACATAATACATAAGAGATATTGTGGTTTTGCAGTTGTCAGTGTATGCACCTCTGCTAACCAAAGCCACAAAAAATGTTGTTTGTACTTAATATATGGCTGAATATTGAATCTCAGTACTTTTTTGGTACTGACTAAAATGTGTCTTTATTGAAAATTGTCATGTACTGAAAGCTGGCCTCGAATGTCTGGTCTGCTTCCAACATGTCCTCATACCTAAAAGACTAAATTGTTCAACTGTAAAGTGTCCCAAAACTACCAGTCCAGCGTCAGGCGTACGGGACCTTAATATGTTGCATGAGTCACATTACCATTTAACATGTGGTAAAAATTGTGCGTCGTAGTAGTTTGGATAGGTGTAGGCTACAATAGCATTTGAGTAGGTTAAGGAAAAGATTGCGGTTTGGGTTAAAATAGGTACGTTACGTAAGTCACCTACGAAACGTTATTTAACTTAAAACATGTCAACTTTCACTTTCCTTCACACTGGACTCGAATCTCGCCCTCCTGAATGTAAGTCCTGAGTGTACTTGACTCATCCAACCCCCCCCCCACCTCCTTACATGGACTTTGTCGCTCTTTAAACTAAATCACCTGACTTCTTCTGCCACTAGAGGTTGTGGCCTAACAGAGAATGTAAATATGGGTCATAACAGGCTGCTGCATAGACAACCTATATGACCTTTCTGAATAATCTGCCTTTTAAAAAGCAGGAAAATATTTGCCTTCTGCTACCTCAAGATCAACACCCCCATGGGCCCCACAGATGGGCCCTAATAGCTACTTACAGGATGTGGGCACTGGGTGTGAGTTGACTAAGTACATCTTTATATCCACCTTCAGGAGGGTTCTTGATTCCATACCTCCTCATGCTGTTTCTGGAGGGTATTCCCTTATTCTACTTGGAGCTTGCCATTGGTCAAAAGACGAGTCTAGGCAGTATCGGGGCATGGAGTGCCATCAGCCCTTATTTGGGAGGAGTGGGTAAGTAATGATGCAGCTTTGTGACTCCTCACTGCAACCAGATGGTGGCAAGAAAGAGAATCCTGTTGGATTTAGGAGGCTGGAAGAGAGTGTGTGTGTGTGTGTGTGTGTGTGTGTGTGTGTGTGTGTGTGTGTGTGTGTGTGTGTGTGTGTGTGTGTGTGTGTGTGTGTGTGTGCGCGCGCGCAACTGTACTGTGCTAATGCTTCTGGTGCTTCGTGTGGTCGCGGCTTCTGTCTGGACATCACCTTTTGTCTTTGTGGATAACTAGTCAGCTTAATTTGATTTAAATTATTGAAACTTGTCACTGAGGAAAGTATTCTGGTATGTGAAACAATACTTTTAAGAGTGTTTGTTAAACCACATAAATGGACTGAATCATTACGGGTTAATAGGCGGATGTGGACTGTGTTTTAGTGGAAAAGTGCCCTTTGTACTGATATTCTTTTTAATTATTTTTAGGTTTTGCTGGTGTTGTGACATCCCTGTATCTTTGTCTCTATTACAACATCCTCAATGCATGGAGTTTCTGGTACCTCTTTCATTCATTTCAAGTGAGCTGCTAATTTACAAACTACAGCATAATATTCAATAGCCAATACTGTATGATCTCATTTGGACAGTTTGGTAACACACCTCTATTGTGTTCACCCCCATCCCAGTCAGTCTTGCCCTGGGCAGACTGTCCCGTAAATTCCAACCGGACGGGACCTATAGAGGAGTGTGAAAGGGCTACACCCACCCAGTACTTCTTCTTCAGGGAAACACTGGACATCTCTTCTTCTATTGAGGAAAATGGAGGCATTCATACAGGCCAGGCACTGTGCCTCCTGCTTGCCTGGGTGATTACCTACCTGTTTATTGTCAGGGGAGTAAAGTCAACTGGAAAGGTGAGAGAGTCCCCACACTGCAGATATATGCAGCATACACACTGACAGGTAGTCCTCATTGTTCATCTAGTCTGCCAAAAGCAACTGACAACTTTTAAAGCGAGGCATGCCCTGTATGATTTGAGAATGTTCTGACCCAATATTTGAGGCAGCCGACTCATTTTAGAGTCGAGAGTAACTTTGTTCAGGGCACAACTGATCAACCGCTCCTGAACAGCATTTCTGACATGTCTGAAGTTTTGGGCGGATATCGTCAGGCAGCGACGAGTCGACTCCCCATGATCAGTGCCTTTTTTTTTTTTCACAGCACCTGCACAAAGTGATGAGCGGTGTCTGAAAGTGTCCTGGTGACACAAAGCTAGCTATCAATCTGCAGAGTAATGTAGACGTAGCTGGCTTACCTCAAGTTCTCTCTGCAAAATAGACAAACCGTACTGTCCATGTCCACAGGATCAAAGTAGGACATTTCTGCCTTGATAGCATTATTGCTAGAAAACAAACTTCTACCTGCCTCGAAGCTTTTAAATAAAACTTTATTGACAATTGACAAGATCTTTAAAATCGTGCAGTGTGTGCACAGCTTTAGAAATCAAGGACAGTATGTAATTTTAGAAAATGTTAAATCAAAACAAAGGTTTAATATAATTATATATTAATATATATGTTTTTTTTATCAAAAACGTACCACAGCTACAAGCAACAATTAGGTTAGAATAAAACACATGAGGAGTTAGATCTAAAGAGAGATGAAATGTCAAATTTCTCAAACTTATACAATAACTGCAGAGGCAACAACTAAAACAATGTGTCACTTTGAAAATATGTTAGGATTTTTGTAAAACTCTATACATATTTATGCAATGTGTTATCCATATGAAAGGTCTATGGTCCATAACCATAACAACTAACAATTTACATATTAGACCTGTAGACCCAAGCGCCTGACTGAAAATGCTCATTTAAAAAATTGTGTAGCTTGCAAGTGTTTTTCTTTTTTGCAGACCATAACGCGGTGAACGTAGGGATATGATAAAGTTGTCCAACATGCCACCTGCTCTCCACACATTCACTTACATATCTGATTTTTGTTGGCTCCATCTGTAGGTGGTGTACTTCACAGCCACATTTCCATATGTGGTCCTCTTTATTTACCTGATCCGGGGCATCACTCTTCATGGTGCTATCAATGGTGTCAAATACATGTTCACCCCTAAGGTAAGGCTGAGTTGGAGCTTTGGCAAATATGTATATCGGTGCCCGGTATTACAGCCTAGAGGTTACTGAGCAAACTGCCTGCACACTGTTTTGTGTATTAATAGGATTCAGTTTTTTGAGATTCTGAGGGTGGGGTGCGTGACAGAAAAAGTTTGAAAACCACTGCCTTAGCCTAAACCGGATTTTGAGTGTGCTGTGCTTGAGGGTGAGAAGCTGCTCCCATTAGCTGGACACAGGAAAACATCCATGTACACGGGACCTAAGAAAGTGGAAAAATCTAAGGGAGTAGGTTAATGTTCAGGAGCTTCAGGATGAGTCAAGGGGCAGTGTGACAATCTGGTGTAAATCGTCAGGCCTAGCATCACAAAAACTACCTCTAGCTACAGGGCAGTTGGTCCCGTCGAGCCGCTCAACATTTCTGTGTTTGTTGTGCTATTTTGGGTTTCAGCCTAAAAATCTGACAGTGAGATGATCTCACTGCTGCTTAAGTGTGTCAACTCAATATATGAAGGGCCAGTAAATTATATTTCAATTATATTTCTGTACACAGTATACAGTATGGCATGCAGACAAGGAAGAAGGTGCATTTGCCTGAGAATCATCTTCAGAACTGTAAAATGTAAGATAATATAATGTTTTGTGTGTGTTGGTCTGCTTTTAGATGGAACAGCTTGCCAACCCTAATACATGGATCGATGCAGCCACTCAGATCTTTTTCTCTCTGGGTTTGGGTTTTGGGTCACTCGTAGCTTTTGCAAGCTACAACCAGTACAATAACAACTTTGAACGCCAGGCCATCGTCGTTGCCCTCATCAACAGTGGAACCTCCATCTTTGCCAGCATTGTGACCTTTGCTATCTATGGGTTCAAGGCCACCGTCAACTACGAGAACTGCCTGGAAAGGTGTGTGTGTGTGTGTGTGTGTGTGTTTTGTGCTCATGCTTGCTCACCTGCATGCATGTGTCTTAAAACGGTTTACAGCTGCAAGTAAATTGTTTTATCAGATTGTTTGTGGCAGGGGTGGAAGTAATGAATTATATTTACTGTCAGCAGCTGTGTCTGTGGGCAGAACTCCAGAGAGCTTCATGGTGACACTGCACTCATAACCGGGCCATGTAGTATAATAAAGAAATACATTATTATGATTTAATTTTAGAATTGACATATGTAAAAAAAAAAAAACCTACCTACCTACTAAAACTGTGCATCTCTTTTGCTTTAATGCACTATATTGGCAAAAGTTTAAGGACACCCCTCTGAATCATTGAATTCAGGTGTTTCCAATCACTGCCATGGCCAATCAAGCACCTACGCATGCAGACTGCTTCTACAAACATTTGTGAAAGAATGGGTAGCTGTCAGGAGCTCAATGATTTCAAGCGTGGTAGCGTGATAGTTTGCCACTAGTGCATTAAGTCCATTTGTGAAACAACTGTTAGGGATATCATAACAAACTGGAAGCGATTGGGATCAACAGAAACTCTGCCACGAAGTGATAGGCCACAGTGCACAGAAGTCGCCAACTTTCTGCAGAGTCAATAGCTACAGACCTCCAAATGTCGTGTGGCCTTCGGATTAACACAAGAACCGTGTGTAGAGAGCTTCATGGAATGTCTGTGAAGATTCTCAGTCATCCAGGTCATAGTTGTTCAAAGAAGGTAAGTCAAGGGCAACTGGACTTGGTTAAACATACTAAAAGACGTTTCATCCCTCATCCAAGGGACTTCTTCAGTTCTGTCTGACTGGCAGAGAAACTCAGCTATTTAACCTTCATGGAATGGGTTTCCATGGCCGAGCAGCTGCATCCAAGCTTTACATCAAGTGCAATGCAAAGCGTCGGATGCAGTGGCATAAAATACGCTGGACACTAGAGCAGTGGAGACGTGTTCTCTGGAGTGACGGATCACACTTCTTTGTCTGGCATCCGATGGATGAGTCTAGGTTTGGCGGTTGCCAGGAGAACGGTACTTGCCTGACTGCATTGTCGCAAGTGTAAAGTTTGGGGGGGGGGTATGGTGTGGGGTTGTTTATCAGGGGTTGGGTTTGGCCCTTTAGTTCCAGTGAAAGGAACGATGTCATTGCTTCAGCATACCAAGACATTTTGGACAATTTCATGCTCCCAACTTTGTGGAAACAGTTTGGGGATGGCCCCTTCCTGTTCCAGCATGACTGCACACCAGTGCACAAAGCGAGGTCTATAAAGACATGGATGAGCGACTTTGGTGTTGACTGACTTGCACAGAGTCCTGACCTCAACACATTTGGGATGAATTAGAATGGGAACTGCAAGCCAGACCTTCTCGTCCAACATCTGTGCCGGACTGCTAGAAGAATGGTCAAACATTCCCATGAACACACTCCTAAACCTCGTGGACAGCCTTCCCAAAAGATAGCTGCAAAGGGTGGGCCAACTCCACATTAAACTCTACAGGTTAAGAATGGGATGTCATTAAGCTTCATGTGCATATAAACTTTTGGCAATATATTGTATGTTCAGGAGGTGTCTGAATGAGCTCATTTGAAAGACTTTAGCAAAAGCTGAACATGCATTGAGTGGACCTGTGAGGGAGCCAACCTACATACAATGAAGTTACTTCAGATAAAATTGAAATGAAATAGAAACTTTTCCACTTTTCTTTGCTGAAAATGGTCATTTCTAGTCAGGGTTAGGGTAATTTACTCTTCATGTAACAGCTCTTTATTTCCCTTCTTCCAGGACATACTTACTGCTGCAGAATACCTTTGATCTAGCAGAGGACAGTATCACCATGGACAATGTCTCTGAGTGGATTGAGAAGCTGAACACAACATTCCCACAGCAGTTTGCTGAACTTGCCAACAAATTGGAAAACTGTAACCTGGAGAGCGAACTAGACACTGTATGTTCCTCGTCATTAAGCTCGTCTTAAAGTGCTGATAATGAGAAAACAACTGATTCACACATCCTGTAGAACACAATGCACATATTAATTGCCTTCTGTCTTCCTCTTACTGCACCTCTGCTTCCCTCAGCAGTGCAAAATGAAACTTCAGACAACATCACAAATACATTATTTTAACATTACATCACATGTTTTGTTCAGAGTGCACACTACTCACAGAGAGCCATTAACACTGTCCAGAAAATATTAAGTAGAGAGAGACAGATCATTGCTTATTACGTGATTCAACAGTTCGCTGTCTCAAACACACCAACGCACAAACACACGAGTTTCAATTGCCTGAAAAAAGACTAATGCTCAAGGAGAGACCGCAATTCGGTTCTTTATGGTAATATTAATGTGTTTTATTTTACGCATTGCTTGTCGCCGGCACACAGTAGCAAGCATGTTGCTGTACTAATTGGAGGATTCATCAAAAAGCCAATAACACTAAACAAATAAGCTGCAGTCAATACAGAGTAATGCAGTAGGCTACAATACAACTGAGTTCCTTTTCGGGGGTCGCGGTCTCAACCTGTTCGGTCAAAACTGTGCACGATAGTGGCTGATGGTGGTGAAGTGCAGCCATCCTGTCAGTGATGCGCAGCATAGTTCATTGGGAAAGTATGTTCATTTAGGTCTGTTTATCTTGTTTAATGTAAATAATAGTCGGTAGTAATTATTCTAAAAAAATACATTATTTGTGATCCAAAATAATGGTTGTTGATAAATGAATTAGTGACCACCACAGATGCAGGATTTTACTGCTTCTGTGGAAAGACAGGGAGTAAAAACACATGTTGCCTCTGATAAAGACTTAACTAGGTTAATTAGATAGATACATTTTTATCTGACATTGTAATCAAGCTTCTATGGCGTATCAAGCTACCCTTTATGGCGTATTCACGTGAAATGCTAATTTAATTTTCATGATGCATTGCTCATGTGAGTTTGCCCGCTGGACTGTTTGTATAACGCAAGTTCATGTGAGTAAACACAGCTCTGTTTATTACAGAGGTATGAACCCCAAATAATCATTTTACTGTAATTTAATTGTATTAAACGGTTCTAAATGAGGCAGAAACTACTACATCATGATGCAGATTTGTTAAACGTATATTTTCATGCTTTGTCAGGTATGTCAGCAAGATGACAAGCAACTTTTATAATGTCCTCCAAATGGTGTTTGGATGGATCTGGGCTATGCAATGCTAACTAACAACAGAATCCAGTCAAGTTTTTGTAAGTAGAGCACTAGAAGTGTCTGAAAAATGTAAAGCACAGAGGAAGGGCATTAGTTTTTATAGAAGTCTGTGGCAAGGACAAACATTTAAGTGCTTCATATGGCATGAAAGGAAAAAGGGGGAGAGAGAGATGTGGGACAACATGTAACAACAGTCCTGACTGAACCAGTCTGTGGTCAGAGCCATAAGGGCGCCCCTTCATTTGATATCAATGAATTTGAGGTTTCAGTAATAACACTGGCTGAACAGAAGAAATGAAAAAAGTGCAAACACTTCTCCCCAAATGGGAAGTCCGTCTGAACGTTTTTTAAGTAATTTAAATACAAAGCATTAGTCAGTACAGCAGCAAGGAGCTTATAATAAATATGTGACCAGCTAAGATGATTTTAATGCTGTTTCATAACAAATTCTCAGAAGCTGGATTTATTCACTCAGTTCCACTGCACAGAAGAAATTCAATGACAACTCTTATATTGCAATATTCAATTCAGTAAGTTCAAAGTCGACCTTCTGACTTGATGACATTGTGGGTAGTTCATGGCTTTAAACTGTTGAATTTTAATCAGTGTGATACACTACATAGTACTACATACTCATCTTAGTGTGCTTCCTCACTGAGCAAGATATTTTCTATTTTCTTTTTGTTTTCTTTCACCTAATTCAGTTTTCATTCTAGCCATAAACTGTTTGTTTCTCCTACATCTGTTTCAGGCAGTAGAGGGTCCAGGTCTGGCCTTCATAGTGTACAGTGAGGCCATCAAGAACATGCCATTGTCTCAGCTGTGGTCAGTGCTGTACTTCATCATGCTCCTGATGTTGGGAATGGGCAGCATGCTGGGAAACATCACAGCCATCACCACCCCGCTACGAGACTTCAAGGTTGTGTCCCTTATGAGCGTTGAGTTGTTAAACGGTAAGATTCGGCCTGGTATGCTGTAGGAGGAGCTGGAAGTTGTGCCAGAAAGATTTTTTCTTTAACAAAGATGTTTAAATTGAGTCCTTTGTCGTCTTAATTGTTTGTTTAATTATGTATGTGTATATAATGATCCTTGTGGCCATCAGCCTCTGCTGGTGGTTTATATATTCTTACTGTTTACACACTACTACAGTCTGCTGTAATTCTCAGAATATAATACTAATAAACTTACATGTGAGCCCTGGTTTTTCTTAAAGCTGGGTGTGCAATGTTGGAGAAACAGCAAGAGACAGCTAGATGTTACAAGTATCTCAATAACCCCCCCAACCCTTCAGGCCTTCCTGTCAAAGCCACTCCCCCAAAACACATGTTCATGCGCAATGAGTGCACAGGTAGGCCAGTTGGCAGGTAGGCCAGCCAATGATTTGTAGTTGTTATTACAGTCCTGCGACAGCGACAGATACTGGGTTTCTTTCATTTCTGTGCCAAAGCATTTGATTTATTGATTGCTGTCATGGTGTAAAGAGAATTTCAGCAAATATAACAACAAATACTTTCATAAATAAATTGCCTTTAACTGTCAAACATTATCTGTTCCAATATGGGAAACGATGAAGCGTGTCTTCTTAGCGGAACATGTTTGACTTTACTTACTTTGACTTTGTGAGTTCGACAACACTAAAGTACTCTACAGCACCTATATATAATTATTATGATAATGATAAAAGTTGGCAGAAATGGTAGGACAGTAAGATGACAACGTAAAATACTAAAATAATAAAATAAAAGTGTAGTAGTGTGTTGTCTGCTGCAGTATAGTATGTGCTGCCATGCAGTGAATGAGTGTGCTGTGTTCTGCTTCCAGGTTTAGTGTGTGTGTTCTGTTTGCTGCTCGGCCTCGGCTTCACCACCACGTCAGGGAATTACTGGTTTACCATGTTCAACGACTATGGAGCCACTTTCTCCCTGCTGTTCATTGTCCTCACGGAGGTCATAGCTGTGAGTTACATCTATGGAATTAAAAGGTTTGTGCATTTCATGTGTGCGGTAGTACCCACATTCGTATGCCTTCACTTCAGCTGTTGTTCTCTGGCTAGTGCCACATGTGTGAAGTATAAAATAACCAGCAATGCGTTTCGTTATCTACTCCTTTTAGGTTTGAAAAAGACATAGAAGACATGCTCGGTCATCGTCCCAACTGGTACTGGAAGATCATGTGGGCAGGAACCAGTCCCCTTCTCCTCATCGCCCTTTTCATCTTCTACATCATCAACTACATCAAGGGAGGAACACCCACCTACCAAGCATGGAACAAAGAGCTGGTGAGCTGTGTCTTTTTTTGTTCTACAGCTTGTCAGTGTCCGTGCTGGTGCAAATGTGTGCATGTGCAGGGTTTAAATTGGGCCTGAGCCATCCAGAGCTGAGCTATTTCCCCTGATATCCGAATGGCACCTGCTCTGCTTTGTCTCCTTCAATATGACATCCTTTGTAGGGTCGCCAACACACTTTTGGTGAGACACCCGCTTTCAGCTTCTCATACCACCCAAACAAATTCCAAATAGTAGGAAGCCATAAAGCCACTCCTTGATGAAAAATATATAGTTTACACACTGTATATATAGTATTTTGTGGTAGTGTCTGGCTGCACTATAACACAGAGAGGACACCACCATGTTTTTAGTCATAGGTATGCTTGGTGGTCTCCTAGGGTGCCTCCAGCTGACAGGGTGCCAAACAGGAGGAAGACCTAGTGTGTCACACTGATTTGTCCAATTTATTATAAAATAAAGCCACTGCTCACACCACACTAAATGGACTGTACTTCAGACTACGTACATGTCACATTTACCAACTGATGGCAGGACACCAGGGAACCCTCTGCTCTTTGTGATAAATGACATGGGATCTTTAAAGACCACCACGAATCTGTAATTTGTTTAACGTCTCATCCGATAGACGGCATCTCTTACAGCACAGGGATCGTATTAATAGGCCCACAGGGAAGACTGCCCCCTACTGGCATGCCAGCACCACTACCATTTGCACCTTAGTTTCCCCAGGTGTTCTTCCATCCAGGTACTAGCCAAGTCCAAACCTGCTTAGCATCAGTCATTCAGCAGAATATATTGGAGAGGCCAACTGAAGCCATGAGACTTGCCCTGCGTCTGCAAGAAGAGGTAGTCTGAGCAGTGAGCAACAAAATCTCACATTGTTCGATATTCTGCTAAAATGCCGGAGAAATGAACTATGCAATTTGCGAAGATAGGTGTTAACTGTACCTATTGCTTCCTCAGGGTAAGTCAGTTGTGACAGAGTATCCCGTCTTTGGTCAGCTCTTCATCGGGCTGCTGCTGGTGTCGTCAGTCAGCTGTGTTCCCCTCACAGCTCTGTATGTCTACTGCAAGAAGAGGAAACATGGAAACCATCATAAGAAGCAGCGTACTGTCAGCACAGTATCTGCTCTGTGACCAGATCATAACAGGAGCTAACCTCCCACCATCACCCCCATATACCCATCCACCAGCTGAGCACAACAACACGACATTTATCATCTGTTACGTGGAGGGACAGCGGAATATGAGCAGTGGTCATCTGTGTGTTATTTCCATTTTCGTCTTGACTTTCACCAAATTTCACGAAACTGAAAAAAATTTTCTCTCTACAAGGGGATTATTTACTGCAACAGGAAACACACAAACAAAAAAAAATGGGAAGCATGGGGACATGAAATCCAGATGTAAATCATGTTAAAACCTTCCTTTTTCAGAAAAATTAAATATACCATTATATTATTTCTCTCAGTATTAAAGTCGGACCTCTGAGACAGATTTCAATGAATACTATGTACTGAAAAATATTCAAGTTCAACACAAGAGTTCCTGACTCAATCACACAAACTGTGGAACATGTTAGTGTAGATGGAGATTGTTTAATTACCAAACATTTATATTACAACATATAGTTATAATACAGTATTTCATATGATGCTAGTTTACTAATTGTTCAGTTGTAATTGTTTGAGTATGTTTTTTCATTTATTTTATCTTATACGCTGCAAAATGTCTTAAATCATGTGTATTATTCTATAAATTTAAGTTGAAACTATTTTAACGTAGTGCTGGAAACTGCAAGCAAAACTCCATTATACCACTAAACATCGCCACTGAAATGTACTACGTTCCTGTCCATTTGCCACACCATGGAAATCTAGGAGTAATGGTAGGTGGTTAGGATAGAAACACAAATTTAAATAGAAATCAGACATAGTTCATGTTTAAACTACTAATGATTTGTCACTAGAACGTTGTCAGTGGAGAAAATCATCCATACTAATTACTGTAAAAGGTCATAATTATCTTCCCATCACATATTTAGGGTTCCCCTTTTTCCAAAGATGCCAACTAGATACAGTTGTGCAGCCGTAGCAGGCTAATATCATTTATAACTTTAATACAGGTCTGTGCTGTTTATTAATTAGGACTCAGAATTTTGGGATTATAGCTTCTTTGATGTTTCAGTAATATTTGAATCTTCTAAAGTTAGAAAACCTTGGTCTGAATGGGAAAAGTCCTAAACACTGTAAGATTAGATCAGGTAGGATTTCAGATTCAGGATATTTCTTTAATGAGGGGTTTTTTTACAGTACAAACCTTGTTTCGACTGTTGAAACATCAAAAGGAGAAACCTTTACCTATCTACCTGCCTAACTATAACCTTTCAATATGTGCTTTGATTATCAATTTCAAATCAATTTGATGCACCATTTTTAAAGCCATACATATTTCCTCCTGTGCTGGACTGCTTCATTAATTTCATTGTTTTTTAATAAGAAATATCTTCTTCATGTGCAGGACTGTGTCCTCATGGTTCAGCATCCATTAATGGGAAACACTTTTACCGTCAGACTTTTTAATTCAATGCTCTCATCCAGAGCAATTGATAAACAAAAGTGTTTACAACTAGAAAAATATAATCAACCAACCAGCTAACTTTTGCCAACGTTCAGTTTATAAGTATTCTATTGTTCAAGCTAGCATCTTTTCTATTGAAGCACCTGGAGGGAGCTGCAGAGAAACAGAAACTGTCCGGTTTGGAGCCACAGACGGTGCAGAGGAAAAATTATAGACTTTATGTAACTGAGAATAATGCTGGGAAATAATGTCTTTATACGAAATGATGTATGCAGGGAAATGATTGTGGGAAATATTAGAGGAAAAAGCTTGAGATGTGCCTCAGACATGGATGATTAGTTGCTGAGCTGCTGATTGGATGAAGAGAATAGAGGCGGGGCTCAGAGAGGGTGAAACAGAGCTGATCAAATCCCAGACACAGTTTGGATGACAGGAATTGTCACTGTTCTGAGGTGTTGGTGTTTTGTGTTTCTCGTTTTACTTTGTAGATGTCTGGTCCTGGTGTTTTGGTCTTGTATTACGTCTTACTTCCTGTTTCTATATTTTCAGTTTTGGATTACCGTGTTTTGTTTGTGGACTGTTCATTTCGTCCTCACCTGTAAGTTTCACCTGTTTGTCTAATAAAACCTCACTCAACATACTTCTGGATTGCATTTGTTTAAATCTGAGACCGAAAACTCCTGTTTACCCGTGTCAGGAATGCTTTTACCAAAGATCCGTTCACTTAATGAATTCTTTTACAATAAAGAATTTATTTCATAAATTAGACTTTTTTTGTCTTTCTAAACTAGTACCCACTCCCCCCTTCCCTCAAGAGGCTACTCCCCTTTTGCCAGGCCGTCCTTGTAAATAAGAAGTTGTTCTTAAGTGTTCTGTCTGGTTAAATAAAGGTTTAATAAAAAAACAAATCTTGCTACCTTCAGATCCACCTGGGGCCTGTACAAAGCAGGATTTGATACCATGATGGTGATAGATTGCCATGGTAACTTATGCTGAACGGCTAACCTGCTCTGGAGCAGGTTATGTTCCAGATAAGAGATCAGCTCTATAAAAGCACCGCCTACTGACCAATCAGCTCTCTTGGAAAAGGACATCACCATCTGTAGGAGATGCCACAGACTGTTTTATAGGCTGCTTTTAGGTTTGCTGCTTTGACAGGGAGAAACTTTTGTTGTTGAGTGTGTTAAATAAATAAATCTCATATTTCAAGTGAGGAGAAGTTTTTAAAAGTGAGGTGGAACAACCACTTATTCAACGCCCGGGTCTTTTAATGCATTTGAAAAATGTGATGCCAGTAGACTTGTTCGTGACTACGATTGGTCATCTGCTGCTAACACCACCTCGAAACCGGGTTGACTTACTGAGTTGATAACAAGCATCGTGTCACAGTTTATCCCAATCCCAACTGTTAGGGTTAGCCAGATAACGAAAACATATCCTGGGTACGGTGAACTCGCTTCGTGGTGCAGGCCCCAGGTTGCATCCAGTTCACCTTAAAGTGCACTTAAAACTGATGAATGAACTGTAGACTTGCCATAGCATGTATTCTGTCTTACTTTGCACTCTTACTTGAATCATAGTCTGAATAACATGTAACCTCATGTCTGAAGTATTTCTGCCTTCATAAAGTCAGCTGAAAGCTACAGTGTCTTGCTCTGTTGTATTATTCCACTGGGTGGTGCAGGTTACTGTGGAGTGTGTGTGTGTGTGTGAGTGTGTGTGCATTCTGCAGATCTAAGTGCTCGGTAATCAGGGTAACTGGGAGCACCTGGCCAGTGAGCCCAGCTATATAAGCCTGCCTACAACACGCACCACATTGATCATTGCACACAGGCATCTTCCTACACTACTGATTTCACACCTCATCCTTATTTTCTTTTACATATGTTTTAAAAATTTTTTGTAATTGCGTAATTTATTTTTGCAGATTTCAAGCTGGGTCACAACGGGGCTGAACTGGAACTGTAATCACTGATGTATCCATAAGATTCCAGTTCAGCTGCGTCGTTTGGGGTTTAGACTGTGGGACATGTTTTTGTACAGCAACACTAAAAATCCTTATTCAACAAAGACACCACAAATCATAAAATTTTGTGAATCTCAGTGTTGTTGTCACTTCTTGTAAAATAACAAATGTGAAATATTTTGCTTTACTGTCATGAAGAACCGATTCTGACAGATTGAAAAATAAATACAGAACTAAATAAATGCTCAATAAACAAGCATCTGATCAAATGCACAAAAATACAGTAAAAAATAAATGTAGGTAGTAATTAAATTATACAATGAGACATAAATGTAAATATCTCTTTTAAGTAGCTTCTTTATTTATTTACCTTTGTAATAATTACCTTATTTATGTATCATTTGTTTTATTATTTTGTTCATTATGACGTTTAATTTTATTTATTAATTACTTCTTTTTCGCTGTATTTATTTATGTGTGTTTTTAATGTTTTTAGTCTGTTTAATTCTTCCTTTGCATTTCTACCTTATTTTGTTGTTAAAGATATGCTACATTACATAAAAATAAAAAAAACATAATAATGAGCCATTAAAGTATAAATTTTACAAAGGGCACGAGGCGAGCCACCTGTTAACAATAAGTTGTCATTCTGATTTCACTGGAACAACCAGTAGGGAAAGATTTTGTTCATTTATTTCAATGCAATATAACATCACAGAAGTCTTGTTGTAACTGAGCTAATAAGCAAACGGCAGAGCCCACAGATGTGGACGTGGACATCTGTAGGCTCTCTGTTTCACGAGAGAAAAGGTCCACGTGTCACGATTCTGCCGGTCTGCCTTGGGTTGTTTCTCTCAGTATGTTGAACTTGTTGGGATCGCGTGCGTGGGGAGGAAAAAGAGATATCATCATTGCAGCTCTGATATTACGATTCCCCATGGCAACGGGGAAATAAAGGCAGAGCCCTCAGTTTAATCGGGTGGTGCTATAAATATGAATTAATTCATTGAATCAGGATGTCCAGGGACAGCTGTCTCTGTCCGTTAATCGATGACAGGTAATCATAAAAGCGGTCATGCTGAAGACCATGTTTGGTTAACAAACTAACATCTAACCATGATTTTGATTTTTTTATACTTGTGCTTTGATATTAACAGTATGAATGAGGAAATGAAACCGTGTGTCAGACAGCTGCTGTCGCAGGAGGAGAGGAGTCAGAGAGAAATATGCTGAAGCTAACCTCCTCCTGAGGAGTTCAGTTGCCGGAGTTACTGATCTAGGGTTTCTCTGATCTCTGTCTCTGACACAGAAAATCCAGAATTTCCTTCATCTCAAGCTGGACATACTCTAATCACACATTCTGTAACAAACTGACGATGTGTTATTTCTTACTTGCCCGGAGGTCTCAGCACTGGCAGTTCTGGACCTAATTAATTGCTTCAGTCAATTTTCGGGCTATTAAATAAATTTCTCCAAGTCAGAAGCCCTCCCTTTAGGTAGTCTTTGTGATGGTCGTCTCCCATTATATTGTTCATTTAGGTGGACATTGGAGGGCTTTAAATATTTTGGGAATTGTGATGTTATAACCCCGTCTCGTCACCAACTATATAGGGCTAATTTTACACCCTTGTTGAAGAGCACACCTGAGGTTCTTGAAAAATGGACTTCTCTACCACTGTCTATGTTGGGAAGGATCTCATTACTCAAAATTAATATCTTGCCTAAATCTCTTTATGTGTTTCAGATGCTTCCAATTTTGTTCTTGACTTGTTGACTTGACTTGTCTTTATGTGGTTTTACTTCTGGACAAAAGAAGATTAATGCGTCTGTTGGTGACAATATGATGATATGCAACCATCAACGCATGGTGGGATTTAAGGAGACTGGAAGGATGGAAGGATGGGAGGGACAGTTATCCTCCCTCTCGCCACTACGGGGCAACATAGATTTCCTTCCTGGTACCACAGATCGGGGCTTTGGGATAGTAGAGGGATTGTTACTATTGGGCATCTGTATGAAGAGGAAATACTACTTTCTTTTGACCAGATATGTAAGAAATATAGTATATGACAAAATGTGTTTTTTGAATAGTCAAAAGGGCGCCAACCTTTGTCATCAGCTTTCTCCGTTGGAGAATATAATATCTGTTGGAAAGACCAAAGGTATTTTGGGGTGTGGATATAAAGCATTATCTAAATAGATAAAGATAAACCTGCATTTCTGCCCAGAGACTGGACTAATGGCCTGAATATAGACATTGATGAAGCAACCTGGATGCTGATATGGGAAGTGGCAAATAACATTTCAGCTTGCAATAGGATGAGGGAAACCCAATTCAGACAACTACACCGTTTGCAGATCACACCCAATCTTAGACATAAAATGGATCACAATAAATCTTAACTACGTACAAAGTGTAATGCTGAGGTTGGGAACTTTATTCAGTGTGTTTGGACTTAACGTAAAGATAATGACGAATATTGGAATAAAATAGTGGATAGACTATGCCAAACTTTTGATTTTAAATTGAGCAAGGACGCTTTACCCTTATTGTTCAGTCTACCACCCAAACAACTTAAAAGCACACACTCCAAAAGACTGTTTTGTATTCTCACTTTTTGTGCAAGGAAGAATATATTGCTTCAACATTAGCCGGGTGGCATAAGGTCATTTTTGATATACTAACTATCAAATATCTTACGTACAGGTCAAAGTGTAGGATTAAGGTATTTTATAGCAACTATCTGGGTACTAGATTGTGCTAAAAGGCCTGGTAGATCACAGTT